TTTTTTTATGTGTTTGGCTGATCTCTGGGTCTGACGGGTGCACTTTTAGCTTGGCTTGGGTTGGCATGGGTCATTTAAAATAAATTGGACAATTAGCATCTTGCTCCAAAACTTCAAAAAAAAAAAAAGTTAAATCTTTTAAAATACTTGAATAATTTTCTTTCTAATTTGAAGTGTTTCCAGTCAGTTTTGACCACAGCTCAAAATGAATGTGATTTCCTTGAACATAAGTAGTAAGCATAGTTACTCAGTGACAGTTGCTGGAGTCTTCATTCATCAATGTAATTTTGAGGACACTATTTGCTTCACAAGGAGCCGATTGGGACTCTGACTTACAAATCCAAGTTGAGAAACACTGCAATTATTAGACGGAGTTTCAAAGTATCCGCTATGATGGTCTCAATAAAGAAGTGAAGAAAAAGGTCTGTACTGCACTAAAGCACAATGCCATTGTCACAGCCACCAAGCTGAGTGCCCACTTTTAATAAAGCTGCATTTGGAACTTTATCTTTGTCTATGCACCTTCATTACAGCCATACAGTAAATGACAAGCTTTATTTATTTATTTATTTATTTATTATTTTGCATGAGCCTTCTCTTCAACTGACAGCGCCAAAATGCTTCAACTCAGAATTAAATGCAGTGTAGTGATGCATGAGCAGTTCAGTACTTAAAATGATCAGCAAACAAGCAGTTAACCACTTCAGCATTTCTTTTCTACAGCATTTCCTTTCTGCTCCATTTTTTTGTTCTGCGAACGACTAACACAAAAGTCAACACTGAAATTCCCCAGCGTGCTATAACCATTCTGTAATGACTGATTTGGAATAGGAGCCAATCCATCAAACGGTGAAGTAATCTCAGAGTGACAGGAGCAGTTCCACTCCTCTGCGCAGTCTATCGGATTGATGGAAATGCTTCTCGATGTAATGCATAACTGCTGACCTGCCCTGGCAGAATGGCTCAACCAATACACTCCAGCCCAATGAGATCCTGAGACTCAGAGACTGTAGGGATTATTAAAAAGGATCATCAACTGCAAGTTATTGCAATCCAGTATTTGTTTTTTGAACAAAACAGGAGGAATTAATAAATGTGCTGTTTTTTTTTTTTACCTAGCAATTGTTAAAATAAAAAAAACTGCTTTAAAGTTTCAGAAGGATTTAAATGAAACTTTATGAAGCAGGCTGGATATTGAGTTAGATTATTTTTAGGTATCGACCAAATTGCCTTGACACCACAAAATATTGAAAATTTTATTGTCATTCAGTACCAAATCTTCACACCTAAAATAGATATAATAATAATAACAATAATAATAATAATAATAATAATAATAATAATAGTTCCTTACATTTATATAACACTTTTCTGGACAGTGGGGGGAACTTCTCATCCACCACCAGTGTGCAGCATCTACCTGGATGACGCAACGGCAACCATATTGCGCCAGACCACGCATCAGCTGATTGGTGGAGAGTCATGAAGCCAACTATCATATTTGGATGATTATAAGGCCATGATGAACAAAGACCAGTGGGCAGGACGCCAGGGTTAAACCAATGACTGTAAAAAAAATGGACGACGCGACAGCCTTGAGGGCAAAACGCCTGCTTGACGGGCACAAACTGTCGCAAAAGACTGCTGAAATTGGAGCCTTGACATGCGCAGAAGGACTGTCTGATGGAGCCAGAGGAGGAGCCGCGAAAATGAAGAGTGGAGCTTCCAACCAAACGCTTTATGTAAAATCAACCACGCCCCCCGAACTTCTCAGCATGTGTTTGCTGCCATATCAACACAAATGGATGTAATAACGTTAACAAATATAAGGGTTTTATATATTCAATCGCGCCAGCTCCGGGGCCGCAGCGCATAACCTACTCGCGGCGTCGCGGGCTGATTCCGGCTCGCATGCGGCAGCGCCGGCTCACTCGGCCGCCGCATCTGGCTCGATGGAATCGGGCAGTGAGTCCAGGCATCCGGAGTAGGTCCAGCAGAGGTAGTCAGTCTGAGCTCTGAGGGGTAAGTCTCCGGCAGGCGAGAATCTAGCTGGAACTGGCCCGAGTGTGTTTTGCTATCTGGGTGGCTAGGCGTACGTGTATCAGCAAACTAATAGTGCCCGAAAAAAGCCCTGACCTTGGCGAATAAACAGTGCTCCGCCAGGATCATGTATGTCAGAAACTGTAATTTACTGCTGAACTCATTTTGTCATGGTACAATAACACAGAAATAGAATAATAACACTTCAGTCTCCTGCCAAAGCTCAGACGCGCTGCTTTGAGAAACTGTCAATCACCGCTGTCAATCACGATGACACGCCCATCATTAAATTACTGCTAAAAACAAACTGTTTACAAAAATGAAGATCTGCACCTATTTCAGCACAATAACCAGTGCCTTAATCGACCAGAACCATCTTTCAGGATATTTTATTGCAAGTGTAATACATTTTTTTATTTGGGCTCAAGTCTCCTTCTTTAACACGGAGGAGGCGGGCTTTATGACTTGTACTGCAGCCAGCCCCCAGGGGGCGAACTAACGGCCGAGACCTTCACTCAAACGCAGGCTTGCGGCACACTTGGCTTAAACCCCTACTCTTTTTTTTGAAGGACATTGTGGGTTTTTAATGACCACAGAATATTAGGTCCTCGTTTTAATGTCTCACTGAGCAGTATAGAGTCCACCTTCACTATACTGGGGCGTTAGGACCCACACAGACCGCAGGTTGAGCGCCCCTCTGTTGGCCACTAACACCACTCCGGCAGCAACCTAGCTTTCCTATGTGGTCTCCGATTCAGGTACTGACCGGGAACAGCCCTGCTTGGCATCAGTTGGTGACCATGTGAGTTGTAGAGAGCTAGCTGCCAGATTTGAATGTTGAGGGACAGGTCAGACAGTTCTTTAAGTGCATGTGTCTGCTCTGGCGCAGCCTTCGTGCGGTCACATAGCCCTCATCATGGCTGACGTCGACTTGCACTTCTCAAAAAATGTAACTGCGCATTACAACAACGCATAGCACAAGCTCTGTGATTGGTCGTTTGGTAGCTGTGAGTGTGGGTGATGCCACGAAAGTCATCAGCCAGATAGAGCGAGTGTTTACAAGTGTTGAGTCCTGTGAAGGAGCTCTAGATGGAAACTTTTGTTTTTTGTTTGTCTTCTGATTAAACTTTGCACGTTTCTCTAAGTGAGCAAGTTTTAGCTACTTGTACATTTAAGGTAGCTTTCAGAAAAAAATAAACACCTGCGAAGAAACTTGACACAGAGAAACATAAACACCTACTGCCAGCTAGCGTTTCAGAAATGTTATTGCAGAGCAACACAAACAGCACGCAGAAATATTATTACACAGCTACGTACAAGGCATTAGTCGTGCGTCACAGCCATCACAACTGCTGAAAGTTACTTCGTAATAGAGGATTAGATAACTGGATCAGAAGAATAAACTGAACCTCAATGATATTTTTCTTTTTTCCATAAAATCTTTCTTTTATTTTGTATTTTTCGAACACAGAAAAACATGCAATCAGCATATAGCAAAGTGCATAGATATACATGTAATAACCAATATACAGGTTGTTAAATAAAAGTATTAATAATAGTGCCAGCGATAACAACAGTAGTGTCAATAAAAAGGAAAAACTGAAGAGTAATGACAAGGACATACTAAAACAAATAAAAATAATAAAATAAAATACATTTTTATATATAAATTTAAATACATACACATTAAACAAATTTCCAAACCAAAAAAGGCAATAAGCCAAATCTGTATTTAGGGTTAAGTAATGGTAAAATTAAGCCAGTTAAAAATAAAAAAAATAGAAGAATGAAATAGGTATTCAAAACCGTGCTGAAACAGGTCTACATCAATGAAGAAAAGTTATTAGAAGCCCAAACAGGGAACCTTAAATTACTATGAAAAGGAAAAAAAAACTTATTAAAATTATATAAATAAAAAAAACAATAATAATAAAAAATAAAAATGGGACCTGGAACCAGAAGTTTCTGCTTTTGGATGTCTCGTTGATTCAAATTAGTAAACCTTTAAGTTTGTCCTAGGTTTGTGCCCAAAGTCGTATGGTGTCCTCTCTTGCTCAATGATATTTTTCATCAACTCGTCCGCACAGCAAAAAGAATAAAGACAGATTTTCAACAACCAACAATGTAAAATTTCTATTAATTTTTTATCTTTAAGTGTATAATAGTTTTATATGGTCCTTTTTGAAGCTTCAACACCTCTTTTAATTTTAATTGCAATGAATAGTAGCACATTGTGTTCCCTGAAACAAACCACATCTCATAGATCTGGGAAAACACAAGGGTGTCAAATAATTTGAATTTGTGAATTATTTATTAATTTAAAAAAGTATTATTAAAAGCCTTTTTCTTTAGTCAACTGACTTCGACAGTAAAGAGCAGAATAGTTGCATAATTTAAAGCCAATATTCTTTGACTTTGACTTTTTGTAATGAAAGATGTATAGATGAGACAGTGATTCATCCTTTCAAGCAAATCTGTAAACATGTTCAAATGTCAAGAACGAAATGTCTCCAATCGATTTGGGCTCTGCCGCCCACGCACTTGCACAACTAGACATATAATAACCATGTTAACGTTTTGTTCTAGCACCTTCTTTCTTTTGCAGCTGTTACGTAAAGTAATTTCCTGGAGTTTTTCCAGAAGCTGAATGAATTAAATTAGAGCTGGGCAATGTGATGGTATATCAATGGCAGAAGTGACTCTCAGCAACATTCTAATAGGACACTCTGACATGAGGATGAACCCTTTTGTTTTGCCTCGGGGTCGCTGGTCAGAGTCTGCATGGAAACTGTCAGGTGAGGGTTTTGAAGGAGTTAAATGAAGAGCGACGAGGCTTGGAGCCCAGCGCTGATCAGCACTCAGTGATGCAGGAGGAGGAGGAGGAAGAGGAAGGAGGAGCGAGCAAAGCAGCTGAGCCTTTCTGCTTTCAGTCTCTCATCAGCGGGTGCCAGAGCAGTTTCCTTTGCTGTGCTTCTCTGAGAAACACACACACACCAGAACGCTCTTCATTGCTGCTTAAGGGAGAGTGCTGAATCCGTTCCACTCTTTCAGGATCATGCTGCCCTGGAAAAGGAGTAAGTTTGTGCTAGTGGAGAATGAGTCCAAAAGCAAGCCGAAAAGTCTTGGAGCTGGGCTAACTTACCATTCGCTGCTGTCGACTTTGCTCCACTCTTGTCCGGATCTCCTTCCCGACTGCCCGTTCCACTGGTTGGGGAGCGTCTTCCACAGCAAACGGCAAAAAGTGGAGCTTAATAAGGAGGAACCCACCTATAATGTGCGTTACCTGGGCAGCGCGGTCACTATTGTGGCTAAAGGCGAGGACTGTACGCAGGAGGCGGTGGCTAAGATTTGGACCCGCAGCAACTATGGCGAACAGAGCGCTAAGATGAAGATAACTGTAGGGCCTCATGGGATACGCATGGGAGTTGATAAAAGTGGCAAAAAGAAGCCTAGTCACCTCTTTTCTCTCAACCGGATCACGTACTGCACTGCTGATCCATTCCGGCCCAAGATATTCGCGTGGATTTACAGGCATCAGGTGAAGAATAAAGCGGTGGTGCTGCGCTGCCATGCTGTCCTATTGGCCAAGGCGGAAAAGGCCAGAGCGCTAGCGCTCAGCCTCTACCAAAACACAACATCTGCGTTCACAGAGTTCAAGAGGCTAAAGCGCCAATCTGACTTCCGTCATTGCCAGCAGCAGCTGCTGGGTGAAGACATCGTGCCTCTTATGCCTCTTCGGAGACTCCTGAATGGCCAATGCCACTACCAGCCACCTGCAGAAAAGCCCGGGAGCGCCACACGACTTTCTTCGATTACAGAGGAAGAGGAGGATGAGGATGAACTGGGGGGTGCCCAATCCACAAACAGCAGTCCAGAGAAAGAGAAAGATGTGGGGAAGATTGTAAATAGACTGGATGAGGTTTCAGTTACCAGCTGGGATGAAGCACAGATGACTATCAGCACTCTGGTGTGACATCACATGGATACAATTTAGTGTCCACACCACTGAGCCTCCGTCCTGTCGCCTATCCCGCCAACCCACTCTCTCTGGTACGTCCATTGATGCACCATGAAACAGCCCTCCAAAAATTCGGGAGAATGACAGTCGGGCAGTGTTGCCTACAGAGGAAGCGTTCTAGAGGGAAAGCCAGTAGAAGCACAATACAAGGAGGTCCACAGGTACGCCAATCATTCGGAATTGGTGGAGAGCTTACACCGAAAAGCCTTTATCTATCCCCGACATCAAGCAAAGCTTAAACGGCACACCAAAAGACTGTAAAGCATTCATCTCATACTCACAGCACCTAGTGATATTGTGAGTACATGCCAAGTGCTTTAGACTGATGGACTATGTGAAGGAACTACTTTTTGTACAGCAAGTCTGTCTTTTGATGTTCATAAGTCTGTCCCCCGGTGACCTCTCTCAGGAGCTCTGCTTCAATGGGATGCGGCTAAAGCTGGTTTATTGGCACTGGGAGCAGCACTAATGAATTAAACCATAACTTAGGAATCGAGCCATTGACTTGACATGTTTACTGCTACCATTCGTCATAGCTCTGCTAATCAGTAATGCATAGCAAGTGGAGGCATCACCTGTGACGTTTGAAACGGGCCTTTTTAATAGCGTTTTTAAACCGTATCAATTTTACACTGTGATTTTGTCTGGGACCAACGAGAGCAAAGTATATTGTGTTTATACTGACAAGCAGTTGTAATTTATGCTGAATTTGTGTCGGTGTATTGCGTTAGTCATGACAACTCATTTTTATGCCGTTCACGTGAAGGTCGTAGCTTCCATCTGTCAACTCTGGCATGTGTTTTTGTAATTTCAGCGCATCGTATTAATCTTCTGGAAAATGATTGGGAAACATTTTTCTACTACTTTCATTTTTTTCTGCACAATAAGACACAGTCAGTGTGAAAAATTGCCATATGTTGTATAATAAAATGTTTGCTTATGCTACTTGTGCATTCATTGAGCTCTAGGTTTTTATTTTGTCTCATGATGATTAGATTAAGGTAATTTGAAGGATTTTTAGGCTGTATTTCAAAAGATTTAAAAAATATATACGTATGTAGCTCTAAGAAAAGGGAAAAAATGTCCATTGACAGCCTGTGAGTGGGCTGAGGAAGGAACTCGTTTCGTCTGTTGCTGAAGGACACTTAGATTTTTCCCTCCAAGTGAGGCAATTAATCAGCCGATTGAATTGTACAGGAAGTGAGCATAAAACACCTGGGCAGGCAGCGCAGAGCTTTCAGCTTGACATGAAATCAGCCAAAAGAGCCTTCAACAGCCTCTCAGCATAGAGCTGATTACAGTGGACAAAGGGACAAGTGCATAAATATGCAATAGTCCTTAAGACCTGCATCAAATTCATCACAACTAGACTTGCTGTTTGTTTAGTTGAACATGATTTCATTGGTGGTGTTTGCGAAGGCACACATTTGCTATTGCTCATGCAGTTCTTAAGAGTTAGGCAACTGATTAACATCCTCAGCCATTTGGCTATATACTCTACATCAAATGGCGTATGTGAATAATGAGTACATTGGATTTGATACATTTCTATTGAGCTACAAAGAAGGCATGTAACGAGGTACAATTTTATATAGTTCATCTTAGCTTTATTAGAATTTCTTTATCAAATAAGGCTGCATAAATGAATTGAAATTCTATGATCTTCTCTCTTATAAGTTATTGTCTGATAAGTTGGTCTAACACAAACAAGCAATGACAACTTTAAATGAACTGTTTGGTTTTCATTTTTGTACTATTTTAAAAACCCATAGCCTGCTGATTTGGGAAAACATCATTAAGGGCCTGTTTACACTAATATAGTTTATTTATAAAATGATTCACGTCCACACTGGTGTTTCACCCAGCGTTTCTGAACAACTCTCTGTCCACATTATAATGCTGGATCACATAACCACACACACACACACACTCTGGCATGCACTGGATTTAATCTTGAACTATATTTGTTAAACGTTATTTTTAATTCATCTTGTTGTCTAAATCTAACAACATATTCCCTGACTTTGGTGGTTTGAATCTATAACTTGTTCTCGGGTAACGTGTTTTGCCTGAGTGCAAAGATAAGTTAATATTAATTAATGTAACCGCATACACTGATTCTGCATATTTGACTGATTGCTTTCTTTTATTTTCTATAATTCATTGTACTTATTATACGTTATACTTTTATAATGGCCATTATTGATTATTAAAACTGATATTCAGCAAAAGAGACGGTAAGTTTAATATTTTCAATGAAAATAAAAGGAGGCAGTAATGTTATAGGCTTTATGTTGTTATATGCATTGAAGATGGTGGTTATATAAATTTGTAGCTACATGACGCCTCAACATTTTTTGTGTCTGTTAAGTTGTTAATATCAAAATTGGCAGTTCCTTATATCATGTTTTCGATTTATTGTTAAGAAAGTGAAACGATGTAGACAGGATGACGTGAATGAGGTTATAAAGTATACTTTTCCTCTTAAAAGATTTACTCGACGTGTCCTCTGGAGTTTGTTTTTCATATCAAACTTGCGAAGTCTGAACTTACAAGGAGAGGATGCAAGACTGAACTGTGTGTAGGCTACTTAATATTGAGGAATAAGCCCCAATCAGATCAGTTTTCAGATATCTCTGTTTTCCCCCATTCACACTGAAATGGAGCAGCAGCGTTTTAAAATGAAAACAGTCTCTTCAGCATTTTCAAAAATCTCTGTTTTCGATGCTCAAACTCCGGCATAGTGGGAGCGAATGGCGTAACCGTAGCATAACGTATACATTTTAAAACTAAAACATGTTAGTGTAAACAGGGCCTAAGTTTAAAAACGGTTGAGTTGCTTACAAGATCATGCATGGTTTAGCTCCTCCTCTTCTATTTTACTCTGAAAACAGAGTGACTTGGACTGATTACCATATTCCACTTAGAAAAACGTCTAGTTCTTCAGAAAATGAAGATAAGGGAGTAAATGTTTGCTAGGCTACTTATAGTGAGTTTGGAATAATCTGATTGGCTAACTAATGATGGTAGATAAGAGACTAGCTGCTGTCAATCATATCACATGGCCCTCTCGAAATTAGTTTGTGAAACTTCACGAAATGGCTTCTTAATAATCAACATTGTGAACACTAAACTTTTTATATAGCTATCGTTGTGGCTGTTTTTTGTTTTTATTTGAGTTTTGTTTTTAGTTTGAATTTGTATTTTTTTTTGTTATGGCCTTTAACATCTGGCCAAGGGACCACCAATGAAATCTTTGGGCTAATGTCTTTATATTTAGCTTCATGTGGATCGTTGATTAATGTACACTTTCCCTTTTGTGAAATAAATAAACTTAAAGTTAGGATATAAACTTTAAAGCATATATAAAGATTTAAAGATGGATTTTTGACTCTAGATCAGGGATAGGCAAACTTGATCCTCGAGGGCCGGTGTCCCTGCAGAGTTTTGTTCCAACACTAGTCAAACACACCTGAACAAACTAATTAGTGTCTTCAAGATCACTTGAACTCTATAGGGGAGGTCTGTTTGAATAGGGTTGGAGCTAAACTGTGCAGGACACCGGCCCTCCAGGGCCGAGATTTCCCAGTGATGGGTTGCAGCTGGAAAGGCATTCGCTGCGTAAAACATGTGCTGGGTAAGTTGGCGGTTCACTCCGCTGTGGCAACCCCAGATTAATAAAGGGACTAAGCTGAAAATAAAATAAATAAATGAATAATGTTATATAATTTACATCCAGATGACAGTGGAAAGGTACATAACAGGTCCACATTTTGCAGTACTGTGCAGCATGTGTTTCACAGGCATTATACTGATACCTGTACTTGTCCTTGGGGAGGTTTTCATGATGTATACTGCTGTACATCTGGAAACAAAATCATTTTGCTTTGGCCTTCTGTCTAAATGGGTAGTTCAGAAAATCTGCCTGTTACTTTCCAAAATGCATTCTCATTTATTGATATTGTTTCCAAAGCTTGATCACCAAAGCAGCATATTAGAAAGTTTTATGAAGATTATCATGAAAGAAGTACATAAAATGTGTTCATTTATTACAGTATTAAGCTGATTATATGATTTATTATGTTTAAAAAGTAATATTATAATAATTACATTACAAAATTACTATTTTGCTCTTTTTTGTTATTAAATAAGTGATACATTTTTTATAATTTCGAGATGAGCATGTGATATGATCGATCGCGGCTGTCCGCAATCCATGATAATCCAATCAGATTGATCCAAGCCAACAATAAATAGCCCATTTCACCTTACGTCCCTTATTTTTGTTTTTCAAATATATTTTTATTAAACATTTTTAGCGCAAAAACATGTCAATAAATTACATAGAGTAAAAAGATGTCTGTCATATATGAATCATTATGACTTGCACTACACAGATCAGCTTCCCATTTACACTTTAGTGAGTCAAGGTTGTCACTTTTAATATTACAAAGGGTGTTAAGTGTCTTTGTTTTTGAAGAATCCCTCCTTCCACCCCATCTCCTACTTTTTCTTTACCAACGGGAGCTCTTGATTCCTACCTCCTTTATGCTAAATTAACTGGCGGAAGCCCTTGACTCAATTATCTTCGAGCTCGGGGTTCTCTCCTGGGACGGCATGCCAAACCTGCAAATAGTGTCAAGCAATATCTAAGTATGAACTCTTAAAATGCTTTATTCAAAGCAAACTTACTTCAAAAACACTGAAAAAGTCCTGACCTAAATCTTCTGTGCTGTATTCATGCACTCAAAAATGACTTTTAAAACTTGTGACAACTGAATAGTTTAATGTTCACACCACGTAAATATGTACAAAAACGATTAAATTAACTTTTATTTTGTGTTGAGACAGTGTGTGTCCAGACAGATTTGTGCACTAGTAGCTGTGATGGACACCATTTTGTCCCTGACATGGGATTCTGTAAGTGTAATCTCACCTCTATCTGTTATAAAATGTGAGTGTGGGTTTGAGTGTGAGAGCGACAGAATAATAGTGGTGTGAGGGGTGTTACTTCTCACCCAAAAGCTTCAATGAAAGTGTTAATAGTCTCTTCTGGAGTCACGGAGGGGAACAAGGTGTGCCGGACCAGGACATACAGGATCAATGAGACATCTTTCAGGCGTACAGGGAGAGGGAGCGATAAAAAAGGATGACAGACCTGTTTCTGGTGTGTTTAAAAAGCGAAGAGATAAGGAAAAAGACTTGCATTGGTATTCCTCAGCAGCACTGCTCTCTTCCCTTGAACAGCAGCACTGGATTCTGCATTATTCCTTCTAAACACACACACTGTGCCGGGTAAAATTCCCTGAAGCTTCAGTCATAAATAGTTAATTCCCTAAGAAATATTTGCACAAATATAGTTACAGTGCAAAAGATGTTTGCTTCGTTCTTGTTTAGTTAGGCAGAGCTTTGTTAGCGTTTAAAAACAGATTTATTTTAAATCTCCAAAAGCAAATTGTCAAATTAAAGATCAAGTAAGACCTTATTAAGTTCCTGAAGAGATCTGGCAAGAGAGTTTCAAACTGAAGTGATTCTTTCTTTATTTACGTGTGCTAATGAATAAAACTACACTGTAAAAATATATATTTATATATATCTGAAGAGATTGTGAAACTGTCAAAAAATATCTTAACAGTTTTTTTTTTGTATTTTGTGTTTACAGTTGTGAATTGCATTATGGGATGTTGATGTCTGCTCTGTTAAACTGTAGACCAGTGGTCACCAAACTTGTTCCTGGAGGGCCGGTGTCCAGCAGATTTTAGCTCCAACCCTAATCAAACACACGTGAACAAGCTAATCAAGGTCTTACTAGGTATACTTGTAACATCCAGGCAGGTGTGTTGAGGCAAGTTAGAACTAAACCCTGCAGGGACACCAGCCCTCCAGGACAGAGATTGGTGACCCCTGCTGTAGAGTCATCAACATCAAAAGTTGACAAAGTA